TCTTCTTCTTCTTCTTCTTCTTCTTCTTCTTCTTCTTCTTCTTCTTCTTCTTTCCTTCTTCTTCTTCTTCTTTCCTTCTTCTTCTTCTTCTTCTTCTTCTTCTTCTTCCTGTTCCTCTTCCTCAGCCTCTTCCTTTTTGCTATTTTTCTTGCTTTTTCCATGTCTCTCGCTTTTTACATTTCTCTTGTTCTTTCTCTTTTCTCCTTCCTGTTCAGTTTCCTGTTCATCTTCCTCTGCCTCTTCCATCAACCATCAACCTCCTCTTCTCATACCGGCCGATGCCCGGCTGGCGCGGCGAAGCCTGGTGGGGAAACTATGATGAGACAATGAGATTCCAGATGATTCCAGCTTTCATCAGCTTTTCTAAAACATCCGTGACAACGCACAAACACTGGCACGGGTCATGACCCGTGAGAGGCACCCCTTACCCCTTCCCTTTTATGATACACCGGGATCTATTCCAAAAGAGTCTCCCCAGAGTGAAAGATGTGAAAAGGAGGATCTGCTGCTGCAGGACCTTCTCCCTGGAACCAAAACCACCCACCCCACGCCTCTTCTGCCCCGAACTGTCCCACTTGTTGACGCCCCGAACAGTCCCAGCGTCCCGGTAGAAATCCATGGATCGCCCCTCTGCCTCGTAGGCTCGCGCCTGCAAGCGGGAAGAGAAGACACAAGACCTTATTGAGAGAGACAGAGAGAGATAATCTTGAGCTGGTTTTTCTTATGGTAAACTCTATAGGAAACCAGCAAAATCAGCCTATGGGTTTAGCTGTTTAGCAGCTCCTGCCTGGTCAAGTCCCATGTGTTCTTTGTCTTCAAACCCCTCCATCAACGAAAAACATGGCGCTACAGTCTTACAATGACCAAATAGATGAAACATGGCGTGCTCGGCCCCCCAAAAAAGAACTACTGTATCTCCCAGTCATTGGCCGATCTCACTGAGGCGCCCCGTCAGGCCGCCACCGTCGCTTGATCCAAAAAGGCACCACTGAGGCAACGCGGCGGTAAGCGACGACCACGACTCCCGCCCAGCCGCTGGGCAGCCCGGACCACTGCTGTCTTTGGGATGAAGATGGAGGTTTCTCCGTTGTAGCCCATCGTCCCCGTCAGCCTCGGAGTGATACTTCGCACAGGAAGTGGTGTTCGACCGGACGGACTGTTCACTGAGTGCCGGTCAGCGACGCACGGTTTATTCAAACGTGGCGTGACGTGACGTGACATGCATTATAATATCATCATGTAATTATTAAACAACAAGCACGTATTTATCGTATTTAAAACACTGTGAAACCAGAGTGGCTCCAAAGGTGCAATCGAATTGCGCACGATCATCGTCGATGGATGGTGGTCCCGGGTGGTCCCGGTCATGCGGTTCAATCCATCTCTTTTCATCGACGAATCATGACGAAACCGATGGACGAAACCGATGGATCCGCAATGATCCGCAGTTGGATGGGAGGGTTTTTCCGAGCCGAACTCGTTCGGGCATGTTCGGGCGGGCCAGGCGATCGGCGATCGCCTGGCCTGGGGGCCGTGTCCGGAAAGTTCTGTTGGACCTCGGTCCAGAGCTCCGAATATCCTGCGGCTGGGCGCCCAGCGGCCAGGTTACGGTTCGGGTCAATCCAAAAAGCATTCGCATACCAGCACCCTCCAACAGGTCACCACCTGACACTTTTTTGAGTCTACAAAAGCCACCAAAGGAGACCTGTTGGAGGGTGCTGGTATGGATTTGATTAATAAAAATAAGTGGGCAACGTTCAACTGGAAGATTCCTAACAAAGCTGTGCAAAAAGCTCTATGGGAAGAAACAGGAAGAAACGGACCAATCCAAACCTCCCGAGAACGTCGGATAGGAACCATCCTCCCCCTCTAAAGAAACCTCTTTTCTTTGGGAGGACGTATTCGTTCAGCGATCGAAGAGCGAGGCAAATGGGAAGGGTTTTTCGGATGGGTCCAAGTTGGTCCATCCGAGCTTCACCAGGCGCCTTCAGCCCCTTCAGCCCCTTCAGCCTGCTTCGGCTTCAGTTCTTCGGCTCTCCAGCCATTGCTGGAGCACCGACCACCGACCACCGACCGACCCACGACCGGCAGCATGCCCTGTCCTATGGTCCACCCCTCAAGGCTGATATGGTAATAGGTGCTCGTTGGCCCGCTGCCGCAACCACGATCAGTGCTGTTCGTCGGCTGCAAGCACCCTGCCAAAGCGAAGAAGGCATCCTGAGAGCACGCACGATGAGTGGTGCGTTCTGGAAGTGTTTGCAGTTCCATGCAGTTCCAATGCCAAGCTACGAGTACGGCCAAAACCTGATGGAAAAGTACTCATACTGAGACTGGATGGTGTTTGTTTTCTCCCCACTAATTAAATATCACTAAACCATCTGTTTGGATCTATTTGGAGGGTTTCGGTCCGGTCGTTTCACATAGGGCCCACCATCAATGCCCTGCCTTGGGTTTCGGTCGGTGCTTGGGGGGCTTTATGGAGCTCGCACGTGTGCACGTGTGCGTTTTTCCTACGCGCCGACTCACGTGAGACGAAGTGGATGGAACGACGGCCACAGACGGCCCCCTTGTTTGGGAAGACGAAGCTTGCGAATGCGGAAAAATGGATCAAAAAGGGGATTGTTCCACAAATGTCCACAATGCATGGTGATGGTCATCGGAGAGTGCCTTGCTGTCAGAGAGGCTCCAATGACCACACGTCCGGGGCATCGCACGCACGCTGCGTCCTTCGCGCGCACCAATGAAATCGCTGCCCAGGTCGTCTCTCGCTTCGTTTTCGTTTTCATGCATGTCTTCTCGCTTGGAGGCCCATTTTGTCGGCCCAGCTTCTGGAGTGCTAATTCCAATGCCCCGGTGCACCACATATCCCAACTTCTCCTGTCACCGGTGCCGCTTCGCAGTGACGGTGGCCAGGGCGCTTCGCCGCGAGACGAAACCGTCAGACGGTGCTCGACGAGCAGAAACGAAGGTTTCAAGGTCCGGAAAGCATGGCTGTCGATCAGGGCTGTCTTCTACCGGATATCGTGTTTCTCTTGGTCTGTTTCTCTTGGCTAATGTGTTTCCTTTAGTCCTTTAATTTGGTGTAGTCTTTGAAAAGTTTGAAAGGTCTACAGCACTCTGCAAGATGGTCAAAATCAGAACTGACATGTCACCCGGGAGTCGAGGAGTTCCTCGCCCCGCCGGAAAGTGTCGAGGCTCGGGATCTGAAGGGATTCGAAGAGCGAAACGGTGCGATCCACCAGGTGAAAAAACACCTAGACTCGTGATGGAAAGAACATGTGTTGGACATCCAAACAATGTGTTGTGCATGTGTTTAGGGTTTGAGCAGGGAACAACGTATGTGGCTGCAGCTTCCTCCCTCCAAACCCTACAGTAATTAATCTGGCTAGGCTTAATCAGGCTATATCAGGCTTAATCAATCAGGGAGTACAAAGGGGTGCAAACCAAAGAAGCCAAAATGGCACCCTTCTCCATCTAAGGTCAAAAACCAGGAGGCAAGGAAATTCACATGCAGCCGACAAACAGCCATTTTATGGCATCGGTCTGTTCAAGTTGACAGTCTGTTGCTTGTGATGCTTTTTTGGAGGAAATACCCTGGTCCTTGATTGCACCGCTCAAATTGAGACAGCATTGAGACGTCTACGAGAAGTTTCACGGCCAAACCTCTAGACTCTAGAGCTTTACACCAGCACACCAGAACCCTTGGGAAACCAACAAGATACACCAAGGAGAAATTCACACACCAAGCTCCGACCAAGCTCCGCCCAAGCTCCGCGCAGCGACCCTGCGACCTGCCGTCAGGTGCTCTCCGCGCAAAGCGTCCTCAAGGAGGATTTGGGCCACAGCCGAAGTAGCATAGCCCGCAGCCCAGTCCATCACCTCAGAGGCATGCTGAAGGCGTGCTGAAAAATTGTTGTTACTAGCGATGGCCTCCAATTGCGATGGCCTCCTTAGTAGCTTCTATACCTATGCTTGAGTGCTTGGGACGGAGAAAAAGACGGCTCACAAAACCGATCAAAAAAGACCTTTCCATCTAAATCAGTACACCAAACCGAACTTCCCCCAAGCTAGCGACAAGCTCGCTTCCGCCTTCCTGGAACCTTCCTGCAACTACGTACCGCCCCCCCCCCAACTGGCTTTCTCACACCAACTGCTTGGCCTTTCGATGGAAACGGGGCCTCTTTTGGCCGGACCAGTTGAGTCGTCGAGTGGATGTGCACATCCCGGACGCGCAATCGACGTTCACTTCCAAGGTGCATAGAGGCCGAGCGGATAGCTCTCAGCCCCATTCGAGACATTCCGGCGCCTTGGTGAAGGCGACCCAAGCAAACCAGCAAACCAGCATGCAGGGACTTGAACAACTGATGTCCAATGTCCTTCATTGATAATACCATGATTTACCTATTGGTTGTACGCGGTTGTTGGGGGGTATCGCCATGTGATTGGCATGTGCATGCACCCAAACGTTCGCTGTACGTCGAGAGCTCCTGTGTCCCAAACACCACGCGGACCGGAGCCAAGCAGCAAAGCAGCAGGAATGCCATCTGCAAAGCAGGTACTGTTGACGCTTCCCGTCCCATTCATCGCACTTCCCGGCCAAATGCTCAAGAAGAAGTGAAGAAAAAACATCCCGAAGAACCCCCCCGTGTGGCGCGGGACGTGTGCGACGCGTGCGCCACCATCCCAGCCATGTGAGAGACATCCTAAATCTAGTGGCCCCTCGGCAGTGAGCACAAAATGGCAGCCAATCTGATCCTGGCACGTGTCCTGAATCTTTCGGGGAAAAAGAAACGAAGAATTAAGAATGATGTCCTTTTTGCGGAACTTGGATGATATGTTGATAATTGATAATATGTTGCTTTTGAGAGCCGTTCTCCTTTTGGAGGGTGGTTTCACATGACCGGGTAACCCGGTATCTTTGCAGAACAGTCCCTTCGTACGTGAAAGGGTTGCTTCGAGCTCGACCGAATCGCCTGGGCCTGATTCTTCGACCAAAATGATCGTGCGCGTGCGAAACTGGGCGGTGTTCTATTTCTGCTAAACTGGACAAGTTCTTTGAGTCAAATGGTATATCCCATTCCCTGCAACAGTGGAGGATCATGGTTCGGTTGCAGGCCGTTCTCTATAGTATAGTTATATGTTCTTGTTTACAGACACTTTCAGGTAATAGGATACCCCCCAAATCTACACCGATCCAAAACCATCCAAAGTCATGTTCAAAGTCATGCCGGCCTCAGTTCGCCCAGCCGTTCGTTGTTGAGCTCAGCAGTTCTATTCCTGGCGATTTCAGATTCGATACCATGACAGTGACACGACTGGACCAATGACACGGAAGCCATCTGCGTATGGAATACTTGCACTGTAGCTCTGACCCGATAGAAACCACCTGATCGATGGGTCTACCTTCGAAATCGAGGGTAGAACCTGCCAGAATGGGGATGAACCAGACATGGCTGTGAACCAAACCTTGGTAGTGGAAGAAAACAACGCACAAAGATTAGAAGTGTACCAAGCTTGGCATGGCCCAAATTCTTCGTAGCTTGGAATAGTATATACTTTGTTTCAAGGGCATTTTCAATAGCTCCAGTCGGTGCAAACCAGTATGTGAGAATGTCTCATTTCTTTCAACTCTGCTTTTTTGTGATAGTGGGACAGGTTCTGTCCCGACAAAAACCCCACAAGATCCCTGCAGAGTTCTGGTTCAACTTTGTGAAGGTTTATGAGCAGGATGTGTTTCATCCTGCTCGTGTCCGCTCGTGCCACGCAGCTCGTGGAACGTCACCAGCGAAATCGGCACATCGAAACATCCAACGGTGACCGAGCAAAATCGGCCTTGGTGGTTGGGCGGAATGTACGATGCATGGATTCAAATAACGCCTTTTGAGGGAAACAGTTGCCTTCACTGCCTTTTACTTTCTTTTGAAAAATAACAACAAAGAAAATCGTATACCAGGGACCCCTAAGGGGTGGTTAATGGACATGGTCCCTTAACCTCTAAGGAGCTATAATTGGACACCCCTTTAGGGGGCCCTGGTATATGTCTTTTGGCGTCGAAACGGCGTGTGTTCACCCTTCTCCACCTGTTTGAGGGCACACCTGGGTGGTTAGGCGGCATGCTTTCATAGAAATACCTGGAAAGTGATATGCTATTTGAAGATCCAGGCCTACTTCCAAGGACGTCCAAGTTGAAATCACTCGAATCTTTGCACCAATGAAAGAAAACAAAGTACATCATCATCAATTGCATAACACATGTTTTAGCATGTTTGAACCACCGCTTCAACCCTTCTAGGCTAGAAGCTGGCAAAAAAAAAAACGGTCGCTTCTACTGCAACCGTTCCGACCCACTTTTTCTTCGTCGATTGTGGTCTGAACAGCCGGTCTTTGGCCGGCCAGACCCTCGGGCAGACTCGGCCGCCAGCGCTCAGGAACCGCCATGGAATACTCGATATGAAAAGTCCAAGAACATCCTTAACATGTGCTACATGGTAAATCTAATATAAGTGAATATATATAACAAAAACATAAGAGTAAGTGTCGTGATCATAGATATAAGATTATATAAGTGAATATGGCATAGTTGACCGTAAAACAACGTCTTCCAGCGTCATGTCCTTGCGCCGACCGATAGATTCAGGACTCCGCCGACCATGAAACGATAGTGATTGGCGGAGCACTGGGATGATGAGCTTCCAAACTAGAATTGAACATCAGGACAGTAGGATCAATATATGGATCAAGCAATCAATCAGCCAAGTGTTCTTTTTCCTTGAATCAATGAAGACGATATGAAAAGGGCTCAGCACCAGCAAGCAGGGAAAACACAGGCATGGCCCGCACCGGCCTGCATAATGTGTTGTTGGAAACAGGAAACGGACGCGTCTTGGACGTGTCTGCGCATGGTCTGAGTGCACAACTGTGCAGCTGCCTCTTCCAAGTGGAGAGGTCAAACCACTGAATCAGCCAAACCCGCAAGTACTCAGATGAGAAGCCCGGAGTGTCAACCAACTCTGTTGCCTGGCCTACGGGTTGTCGATCTTTCATAATTTCTCATGAATTCTTATCTCACCCGGTCTCTCGAATTTCTGACCATTAGTCCCTCAAATGGGCCAGTTTGCAACAGCCCAATCACCAGACGTCACCGGATCACCCTGGTTCCAGGTGATATCTGTTTGGAATGAGCTACTACCAGGAGTTTCAAAGGGGTGCGATCCATGGAGGTTAGGGGTGCCCATTACCCAATGACTTAGGGACCAAACACCACCCCTTTGTGACCCCTGGTACTATGTGTTTCTCAATGTTTCGAAAGCTTGGACCCTCTCTTCCGCCCTTCACCATCTCAGCGGCGCCGGAGACACCACGGCGCTCAGAAGCTGAGCCGTTGCAGATCGCCCTGGTCGCCCTCGCCCTCGTCGCTCTGGTCGCGTGCCGGAGACGTGGCGCCCACGTTTCGGTCTGAAAGTTCGTCCTCATCCTCGTCCTGGAGTAGAACGCTGAGCTGTGTGGGCAAGAGGATCATCAAAGGGTTTAGACGTACATGTAATCCCGCTTCCAAATTACATCAATCACATGCCGACCAATGGCACCAATGCAACATGTCGTGAGCGGCGTTATGCATTCAGTGCTACACTCAAATTATACTACCTATTATCTTTGGGCCCTATCTCGTTCACAAGCGAATACTGATGATACACAAACAAATAGAGCATGCCGTAGGCTGTAGACTACTTTAGCATGATTTTATCAGAATTTAGAGTCACGTACACAGGATTCCAGCGACCTTCAGCGAATTCCGGGCGCCTCTGCCATCTTTAGGACAATACCCGGATCGACATTGGTCACCCGTGTAAGCCGTTGATTGAAGCTTTGGAGGGCCACGCGCGTATGGAAGAGCTGCTGTTCACTGCTTGGACAAATCTCCATGGAAATCAAGGTGATGGCCGAAGTAATGATCTTCAAGTCAGAAGCATTCATGCGCATCACTTCGCCCTCCAAAGTGGCCACTTCCATCTCCATCCTCCGTGACGCCGCGGTTGACGCCAAACGACGCCGTGCAATTTGCACCCCCAACAAGGACGCATCGCTGCCGTGCGAGGAACGCCCGGAGAGCTGAGTTGGAATTCACAATCCGGGCGGAGCTGGGGTGAATTCTGAGTGAACTTTGCAGTGGCTGGAGGGTCAGAACATGAACCTTCAAGCAACAAACAAAAAATAACAGCGGGAAGAAACGATCAAGTTCTGCGCTTTCCGTCCTGATTTTACTGTGTTTGTTCTGTCACCAATCCCTATTATGTAGAAATGTTGATTAATTAAGCCTGCCAAATGAACAGGTATCAGATTCCATTTGGGGCGGGGGCATGAATCAAGATTCTACATTAAAAGGACCAGCCTTCACCAAACCCTTTCCCCTCCAACCTTCCCGTCCAGCTTGATGGCCCTGAAGAGATCTGCGCAAAAATGGTGCATTCTGCGTGGGGCGGGGACTGCGTTTTCATACCATATGTTTCCATCAATCTGGTCATCATTTCAGGTGAATTCCAATGCCCACATCTCAAACAACAAAACCCCAGCTCCCACTTTCCGGACTCGTTCGGAAAGCAGCTGGTTGATGCTCCCCACTGGCCAAGTGGCAGGTCCTGCGCACAGCGCTTCAATGCCTTGGCTGCCTTCCCACTGATGGCTCTGCATTCTGGGTCGATCCATTCCTGGCCTCGGTTTCGATGGGGATGCTTACGTCGGCTAGGTGGTCTTACACACACAGCAGCGGCAGAAACAAAGTCTGAGAGGAATTGGTTCGGCTCTGTGGATCGGCAGGTGTCTAATGGATCAAGGCATCAAGGCATGGGAACACCTCGGGACTCGCTTTTGAGGCGCCAGGGTGGTGCGAAGCGTTACCTGCAACGTTCATTCCATGCAGTCTGCGACCCAAAAGAAAAACTGCCATGCTACACAGGTGTGTAGAGTGCCTGGCGACTTGTTTTGGAGAAGTGGTCCCAATGTGTCTCAATCAATGTCTGTACTGTTACTATTTTGGGGGGGACATGTCACATGTCACGGTCTGGGTCAAGTTTGGCTCATTGGAGGTCAAACACGGTCAAATCACCGGCAAAAAACCAAGGGTTCGAGCTCCATCTTCACCTTTCCGTGGAGGACAAACATCTCAGGTGAGACCAACTACTGCATTTTGACAGAAGTTTGGGATTGTGTCGGGGTCTTTTGTGATTCAAGATTTGCTTGGCTTGCTTGTTGCCAGTGGGCCCCACCCAGTCCCGCTGTCCAGCTCAAGTTTCCGCTGTTTTTCAGCAGGTGCCGCTGCACGAGCGCCGCGGCGGTGCGCAAGATCATGAAGCAGGCACCCAAGGCAATGAATGAGAGGATCCTTGGCGCATCACAATATACAGCGTCCAATGGAAAGGAAAGGGCCCCAAGACACCCAGAGAAAGGAGGAAGCAACCTTAAACCTTCCAATTTGGGACTGGAGGCGAAGTGTGACCGGAGAGTTTAAACTTTCAATTTTGAGCGGAAATGAAATTCTACCCAAAGTTGAAACTCAGCAGCGCATCCTTGCCTGATACCTAAAGCCTGCGACATTTGATCAAAAAACTGGGAGTACAGCTGCAATGAAATATGCAATCATGATCAATCATGTGATATGTATATAGGACTGTATATAGACAATGTTGCGCTGGTCAGTGACCCAACACCAGATCACGCCTCCCAAGCTAAGCTGCTGGGGAAGTTTGAGCGACTTAGTGTTGGCAGCAAAGCTGGTGTGGAAATTTACCCTTAACGCCACTCCTAGCGCATCTTGCACAAACGGACGCCAACAGGGTTCAAACCGTCTATGCTCACGACAGGGTCAACTCATGTTCTCCTTCCAGGAAGGAAGTTCATGCTTCACATTGCCACATTCATTGTGCCACATCCGCGACTGGCTTTTCTGTGCTCAACCAAGTCCGAGGAACTGGCATACTCCTGAAGCAAAGCCATAGCACGCAGAATCCCAAAGGGAGACACCCCATTGGCCTTCGCTGATGTTATGAAACGCTTGTTGGCCATAAGCACGCCTTCCGAAACAATCTTGCGAGTTCATGCGCAACTTGCATGGTCCGCATCTCATCACATATTCAATTAACTGCACCTAGCTTGGTTTGTAGCCCTTCGGGTGAGAAAACATTCAGAACACCAAGAATGACCCTCAGAACCCACAAGAAAATCTCCGAGGATTTCAGCACGGTCGAGGAAGCTCCGACACCCCCAGCAGTGGTAAGCAAGGAGAAAGCACGAGGATAGGAAGGATAACGATATAGCCAGGAGCTGCCTTCAGCAAATGTGCTCGGCAACCTCAAAGACCACCGCAACCTATAGAGCTCCAGGATGACAGTGTACAGAGCCGAGAACATAGCTTATATTGACCTTTTGAAAGCAGGAAAGAAAGAAGCTACAGAGTGTTCTGCACCCATCGACGTGGGCGCCCTTGCCAGTGCAGCCACCCAAAAGCAAGCATATCTAGACAGCTTAGCGCAGGCCAAGGGAAAAGGAAGGTGGCAATAATGGAGGCAAAAGCGCATGGAAAGAACCCACATGGGAACCGTTGAGACCAGAAGGGCTACATAAGGGCATTCAAACTCATGGGGTTCATGGAATAATTCGTGAAGGAACAAGAATGATTCGCACCAGCGCCAAAAGGCAGTTGCGTCAAAGGCCACAGGTTCTGCAGCAGCCAAAGCCAATGCCCAAGACGCAAAGCCTGGCATTAGCACTACCGAGATCAGTGCGATGAACCACGCATTGACAGAAAGCCTCAAAAACTAAGGAGCTCTCCGTGAGCAGTGTACCGCGCAGGTGAAAAAGGCCATTCAAGAGGCCGAGGAGCAAGGCAAGCAAGCAAATGATGCCATCATCACACGCCAGCTGGAACTTGAGGAGTTCAAGGCCAAGTATGAGAGGAAGGAAAAGTGGCAAGGAGCAGCTGATAAGCCAGAACCCACCACGCCGTGCTACTTCAGCACCGGCTGAGTCATCTGGTGGATCAAGTTTGCAAGTAGATCGCGATGCAAGCATGACCAAGAAGAAGGAGGAGGATCGCCTTCAATCAGCAGCGCATATGTCAGCAGACTGCTGTCGCTCGCCTGGCAGGGCTATGCGGCCGAGATCAGGGGAGCTGAAGATCATGATCATACGGTATGCGGCACAATGACGAGCAAGAGGAAGAACCCTTCAAGCATCCCACAGCCCACCATCGAGCGGGCAAGAAGGCCCAAGCTGCCAAAGCCAAGAAGCTGCATGCTCAGCCAGGAGCACACTCTGAAGTCTGGAGCTCCACTCGACAAGGCCCTCAGCGTCGGTCATGAGTCATGATTCAAGCGACTACATAATCGTCCTGCGAGGAGTGCGAGAAGAAGGCCTGACATCACAACCCGCAAGGCCAGAGCCAATGGAGCCAACTGAAGAGGACCAAGACCCGCCAGAAGTGGTGGAAAGTGTCAATGAACTCCAGGAAAAAAGAAGGGAACACCGGCTTGAATGCACTTTGCAGCATCGAGACTGGCATCAAGAAAACTCAATAAACCCATGCTCATTGTCAGGCTTTGGAAAAGCCCTCGGGCTCTGAACGACCTCGAAAATCGACCCTGGTACTTGTGTCGATGTTACTGGACACGGTTACTTGCTGAGTGAATGCTTCGGCCACTGCTTGCTGAAGTTGACTTTGTCTCGTAACCAAATGCTGCATCATTTGAATAACTTGCTGTGCAACCCCATCTTCTGGAACTTGTCCTCCTGAACATGCCATTGTTTCTTCCTTGCCTTGACTGAAGCTCGGCAGGACGATCTTTTCCTGATCCCTGAAGTCTTTTAGAATTGAACAGAAGCTAGACAAATGGCCACAGTATACATTCATGTGACAAACATGCTGCTGTACATGTAAGTGAACAGAACGGGTGCTCCTGGGAGATGTTTTTCATGCCAAAAATGATGCAAAAACACTGTGTTTTACAGTGATTTTTGGCTGAAACCTCTCCAAAATGGAGGCTTTGAGCTATTTTTTGAGCAATTTTGTGAGATCCAAGCCTATCCCAATTTAGAGGGAATACCAAAAAAAACAAAAAAAACAATGTTTGAGACAAAATGGGGTCACTATTGGTTTTTGGATGTTGGCTGCATTTTGTGTCAAACATTGGTGTGTTTTTGTTTTTTTGGTTTTTTGGTATTCCCTCTAAATTGGGATAGGCTTGGATCTCACAAAATTGATCAAAAAATAGCTCAAAACCTCAATTTTGGAGAGGTTTCAGCCAAAAATCACTGTAAAACACAGTGTTTTTGCTTCATTTAAGTTTAACGGTGGAATTTGATTTTAAATTGGAGTTCAATTGATTTTGCTATTAGACTTCTATTAAAACGCTTTCAGAATTATTGGTGGAAGTTGATTCCTCATTAGCTTTCTATAAAAAGTGTTTAAGATTAATTGTGGATTTTGTACAAACTAAGTTTCATTTATATAATTTCTAAACCATTGGGGAAATTGATTTTTATATTAGATTTCAATTAACATGTATTCAAGATTAATTATAGAAAAATGAATGTGTAATTCAACTTCGACTAAATTCCTTTTCAAGATCATTGTGGCAATTGATTTTGAATTAGATTTCAATTAAAATCCTATTATATTTCATTGTAGAAATTTGTCATTACTTAAATGTCAATTAAATTAAAGTGTTTTTTTGCCCTAGGAGTGCTGGGAATAAGACAAAAACTATGTTTTTGAGTAGACAGTATTTGTTTAAAGTAATCCCTTGGAATAATCATTGCTATATTAAAGCTGCTTTATGTACAAGCTTCTAATTCAAAAGGTTCCCTCTAGATCTGATCACTTCTGTGAAAAAATATAAAGCTTTCATTTCAAAAGCTTTCCTCTGGATCTCTGGAAATAGTCATGGTATTTTAAAAAAGCTATAAGTATGTATGTAAGTGTTTCTTTCAAATAATTTCCTTCAATGAAAATACAAAAATCTAGGAAATCTACTTTCCCAGAGATCCAGAGGAAAGCTATTGAATCTAGAGATGTATAGTATTATATCTTCATTCGCTCATGATGCTACATTCATTGTGGGCAGAGAGAGATTTACCTGATAATATTTATCCCTGGTGTTGCACATTGATAGTGGGCAGACGAAGAGCTGTTATTTGTTGTGATTGACATTGGACATGGAGACTGGGCACAAACAAATCAAAAAAATTGCGTTTCGCCTAGTTCTCAGAGCAGTTTTTGAAATGTTGCACGGTATTTACAGTGTTTTCTAAGGGTTTTGAGCTAGTGTGTGCTCTCCCAAGCACACCCACCCTCCAGAACGGGACCGTGAACCAACATCTGACCAGAGTGAGCGCCTAACAACAGACAAGAAGGATTTAGGCAAGTGTCATCCCAGAATAGATGGTGCCGAACTCCTTCCAGTCGTCCGCAGTAGTGCCTTCGACCACAACTGAGCTGTTCACCAATAGAAGGAGCATGGCATTCAGCCACCTGGGATGCATCTCGCCAGTACAACCACACCTCTCCGTACCCGAAGAATCCCTTTGGAAGAATCCAGCTTTGCAGAACCTTGAGTGGTGATGATAGGTGTGTGTCCCACCACAGACCCATGAGAAAAGACACAAAGGGGCGGTTTGGGCATCCTGCGTGCGCATCTCCTGCACCTTGGGAAAGCTTTCTCAATCTCCCGGATATGGATATGGATCCTCGAGGTGCTACTGAAGTCAGTCTGAATTGCTTCCCTCATCGCCAAAACGCCGGTTCAATCCAAAAAGCGAAAAGTACCGTGATTGAACCCTGGATCCGGTTGTGCTCGCGGCCGAATTGGATTGCAGGGCCTTGAACTGCAGGACTGGTACAAGTCATCACGTTTCACCCGACGATCCCGTTCAGAACTGTCCGCTTTTCCGAAGGTTTTAGGGATGTCGAGGGTCTGTCCAGGGGGTCCGCAGGGGATTTTATGTGTTCAAGTTGAGCCACAGGTCTGCTGCGTTAATGTAGGGCACTTTCCACGGCCACAAGAGGATTTGGAAGGGCGAATAGAGTGCGAGGACAATCGCCCCAGCGGCGGATTGTGCTGGAGGCAAGTTCGTGGCCACGACCACGGCCAAGCTCAAGAGGAAGCTGCGCAAAGGGAGAAGAACTCCAAACCACCAAGCATTCATGCGAAACTTGGAGGTCAGAAAGCGAAAGCTTTGCACCAACCTGGCACGGCTCGCCATGGCTCACGGTGGGGGGCGGCCATAGGACATGGTGGTATGGGACCGTGTGAGCTGTATCCCACCCCAAGTAACCCACCCCAAGTATCCCCAAACGAAAAAGCTCCGGGAAAAACCCGACTACACCGTAGCCTCCTTGTGTGATTGGTGTCCGACAAAAGAACACCAAACAAAACGCCGAGGCTAAACGCCGTCGTTTTGTATGTTGGTTCCAGGGAACGCATGTCCATTCCCCAAACTCCAGCTCGGCATCTTCCAGCTCGCCACGAGACATGAGGCCAAGAAAGCCAAGGCGAAGGACAGCAGCACGACGCCCAGGACGGCCATGGTGATATGTTCGCCACTGCGGCAAATCACACTGGGAAAGTTCAACACGCTATAGAGCCCATTGGGGTGCAAGTAGCACATCAGCGGTTGCATTCCCACCGCTGACATGGTGCCAAAGCCCGCTTCAAGGAAGACGCCGATGGTGTTGAGGGTCTTGGGCAACTTCCGGCGTCTCAGTGGTGTGGCTAGAGGTGGCTGGGCTAAACTTGGATTTTGTAAATGTGTAAAGCTTCTTGTTCCTAGTAGTAAGGCCAGGAGCCCCTAGTAGCGTCCTTGTTCCTAGTAGTAAGGCCAGGAGCCCCTAGTAGCTTTACAGTCATCTATTACATGTATATGGACCATCTGCTGGGTGTCCGGAGATCCCTAGGACTACATAGTCCAGCCTTACCCTGATCGACTCTGGTCATCTTGAGAATCTTGTTATTGAATCCAATCTACCAACCAGGCCAGCATTCGTCGTGAGTCCTTCTTTGGAGGCAGACTGCGATGGATTTGAAAAAAACATATTTTCCACTGCTGGACAATATCAACAGCTCTCTGACCATTAGAATCAGTTATAGCTTTGGCGGATGATTGCACATCCAAAGAATGTTCTGTGTATTTTGCATAGCCCCCTCTGGAAGTAAGAGGCGTTCTCTTTCAAACAAGTATCAAACCTCTTGCATATAATAAGAACACTTCCGGTGCTTTTCATGTCCTTTCCAAACCTTGCACATTCTATCTCTCCGTTTCTATTGTCCTCCAAAAAGTATTCTGCTCTGGGCAACCGGCTGTTCTTTCAGTCATCTCAAAGAATCCAGGATTTCTCCCATGCGGGTTGCTTTTTCTATGCCCATCCATCTTGGATATCTGGGTCACTGGGGTGGTTTCGGGGGTCAATCGGAGGGTCTGGGATGTCAACCCATCGGACCTAGCGGTCTGCGGTCTCATCGGACGGGATGGCTGGACCGGCCCAAAGGCGGCACGGTGCGTCGTCCGTCCGCGCTCTGCTGTGCGATGTCGACCCATTTCAATTCGATTGGCGATTCTCAGGGCCAGAATGAGTTTAAACTAGGAGCAAAGGGCATCGTTACTAGCAAGGACGCTACTGGGGCACTAGGGGCTCCTGGCATCGCTACTAGGTGCAAAGGACATCGCGAAGCTACTAGGAGACATGTTTTGACCGGAAGGACCATATTTTGGGTAGCTGGTGGTCCAAAATCGAGGTCACTGAGGTTCAAGGTATGTATACATATAGGTCATGTCATGTTCCCTTCACAGCTGCCATCCATGCTTGTCTATCTCCCAATCACATAACTCTCACATGGAAAGCACCTGCATAGTGAAAGCATCTCATCCAGGGGATCCAGAATCTTCAGGTTGCTGGTGGGGGGCATCTAAGAAATGAATTCTCGATTCAATGTTCAACTTCCACATGCATTTTTACATGTCGTTTGGTGAGGTACTTGGGGCGCTTGGAGTCATTTGAAGTACCAACTTCCAGCAGACACCCAACCCCAAAAAATCACTGTCCAGTTGCAATTGCTTGAATCGGTCGGGGAGGCATTGGGAGCTCGCCTGCAAGAAGAGGTATTAGATGGTATTAGGGAGAACCTCAGCTAGATTCTCAGTGAAATTTGCGGCTTGACCCAACCATGTATGCATATATATATATAACCACCAGTATTGACGTAATTACATTCAACATGTGCATCGGAAGCCTCTGGTTCAGGGCAAGCACTGGAAGCACTGTTCGGAATAGAAGTAATTCAGATGTCTCGCTTCTTTCGGAGGTCCTACATTCCGCTCAATTAATTAGGTATCCAATTCTGCAGGCTGACGTTCTGCAGATTTCTGCAGCCCAACTCGAAACTGCTACATGCACAACCTTTCAAACCAGCTCTGCATGGCTTTTCGAGGTAAAGCATGGCAAAGCCAATTTAGAGATTCTGTGAAGGGTCTTTTCCATGGCGCTCCGGGGTGGAAAAACTAGGGTCATGGGTCTCATCGTTGTTCTTTCCCTTTGTTTCAAGACTCCAGGACCCCTCACTGGTCCCTGCCCCGCACCAGTCCGGAGCTCGCTTCGCTCGCCTGGAGGAAGAGAAGCCAAAGCGCCGCACAGGGAAACATCACGGCGCTGAAGGTCCAGCGTTGCACGTTCGATGGTCCAGCCAAGCAGCTCAGGCTGAAACGTTCGAAGTCCAACAAGAACACCTGCCGCGCCCGCGCGCGTGCTTGGGGAGGTCCATCTTGGTGCTTCGTCACTAGCCGAGTGAGTTGGTGCAGGGCGATGTGAGGTGCGAGGGCAATCTTGTGCCCCTCCGGAAAATTTTGTAGCTCTGGACCATAAGTCGTGTGCAGTCTGCCACTTTACTATCCGCGCTGTAATACACTACCATGCAATACGAGTCGGGGCAGTCCCACAGGGACCGGTTTTTCCCTCACTTGGAGAGCAAAGCCATGGAATTCAAATTTGGGCAGGTACGAGTACATGGGGGACCCCTTAGCCTTAGACTCATTGTCGATTGGCCCCACGATTAAACACATAAACTTATAAACACACTTCCCGAAGCAGCTTGCTTCGTAGCTTGGATTGGTGGGCTTGGCCGGCGATTGAAGAGTGAGAAGCCTGTGGGAAGGTTGAAGACTCCCTCGCCATCTCGGCTCGGGAAACGAACTCCATGGTCCTCAGAGCCTCACCCGCCAGCACCACTCAGAGAGAAGGCTTATTGCACGAAAAACGCCTGGATTGCTCGTTCTACCAACCACCCTTGGCCAGCTTCAAGGTGACATTCAGGGTTCCTATAGGAGTTCTAGGTGATCCTAGGTCCTATAGGTGACCCTTTAAGCGACTTTGACCTTTCCCTGGAATCTCAGTCTGGGTTACTTGGAAGAACGGCGCCCGGCGCCCGAGACGCTCGACGCTGCCAATCAGTGCACTGGATGATGCCTACCGTCTCAACTCCTTTCAACTCTCTCCCCCACACCACGTCCACACGCTGCCGTCCTCAACTCCTCCGTTGCCCCGGAGCCGTTCTTTTTGGTCCACTTAAGCTACATACATTGCACGAACTCCCCGGAACACCTGGGACCCCAAACCTGAAAAAAACTCTGGCTCTGTTCGACCCCTTTAAAGGTCCACCGGAGAACACGAGGAGAACGCGATGTCCTGCGCTTGCCCGATCGATCTTTCTCGATCCAGTTCGACGTTCGAGTCGGGCACGTTCGTCGCGTTCGTTCGTCGCTCTCAGCGGGAAGGAATCGTGAAAAAGAAAAGAAGCGGCCTGGAAGCGTTCCGTGGTGGCTTGGAAGATCTGTGGCCAGGCCACCGTCATCATGCCCAAGATCGCGATCGTCTGAAAGACGTTCACCAAGATGTTCGCACACATCGTCGCGGCTTGAAACGGTGACGCCTGAGCGGTCATGGAGGTGTTCCTGGGCGCTGCCGTTGCGTCGTCGCGTCGCGGGGAGGCGCGACCAGGACATGAGGTGCGAGGAGGTGCTGTACGTGAGAGGCGCGAGTCGCTCGGTGTTCCGGGAGCTTGGCCGGAACGGTGGTGTGATGCAAAAGAATGACTTGAAACCCGGGTGTGCGTCATGTGTTCCACTGACGAGGGGGTTTGGGGGGCACCTGATCGCCGACCCATAGCAATTTATATATATATATACTGTATATATATATAGAACTAGATCGATAGTTGGAGTTGGAGGTGTCATTGGTGTTAACGTTTTAAAGTGATCGCTTCTAATTCAAGAAGGACATCTGAATACTCCTCCCGAGGACCCTCGGGGCTCGGTCTCCCCAACTTGTTAAGAGACCTCAAACGGTGTCCCCCAAGACGACCGATACGGTGCGAAGCGGTTCGGAAACCTCCTCGGTCCCAGGTCGCCGCAAAACGCTTCATCCCAAAACGCTCACCGCGAAGACCATAGCCAGTACCACCCCTTCGGAATGGGGTGGTGATTGCGTGGAAAATGCATGGGCTTTGGGGGTTCTACAATGCCACGTCCCAAGAGAACTGGGTGCTGAAATATACAGCTCGGGTTGTTCCATGACATGCCCCATATCCCCCCTCCTATGCCCCCACACATGGCAGCACCCAGCCCACCGACGGTGTGGGGGGGCGCGGCTGAAAAAGCAGAATCCACTCAGGTTCCACGGTGCGTCGTCAAGGAGTTTGACTTGGGTGCCAGATCTATGTTAGATGGGAAACACATTGTGTCCACAAACGGCCGCGGACATCCGGAGGCGAGGATTTTCGCGTGTGAAGATGATTTTAGAAACGGGTGAGTCAATGGTCTAATTGTCATCCAACTGGGTCATACAACTTCATCACATATCACGACATATCACGCTCCCTGAGCAGCTATATCGATCTCGCGACCCCTCCGACTGCGTCGAGCTTGGTGGATCAGGGTGCCGAAGTCCACCTGGCCCGCTAGTCTGACGAGGCACACGACGTGGTAGGCAACGGCCAAGCCCAAAGCACCAATGAGCCCAGCGCAGCCCCATGCGGTCATCGTGCCACCATCACAGGTCTGAAGCGATTGCGGCGATGAGTTTACCGCATGGGTTGAAGCAACGTATTGCAGCGGCTTTTCATGGAAGATTTGGATAGATTTGGGCCATATCTTCAGGGGACTTGTTGAAGCTTTGGCAAATCCAACCCAAAAGCCCCAGCAAACTGAGCCGATTTCCCCTCAACTCTGGTGGTCGCTGGAACCACGCTCCTGCCCTTCACCGGCCCCTCACCGAGTCGCCCGCCTTGCAGCGGGTCTCGCTCCAGGTCATCGCCACAGGACACACGCCACAGGGGATTCCCTCAAGGCCTCCGGCGCAGACTCCTGGCCGTCGCGTCTTAGAGCGAACCGCGCGCGCGCGCGCGCGACGTGAGGTCGCAAAGGAAGGAAGAGGACGTCGTTTTGTCGACTGTTCGTGACATGAGATCTGACTGTTGAATTCGACGGACCACGGAGTTCAGGTTTTTCTACTGCTTGGCGATGGACACAACACAAAGCTTCCACAACTGCTTGCGCCAACCTTCCGCAGTGTGAAAGGTAGCATTCCAGTTTTCCGTGCGCTGCTTGTTGGGTGGGGACATCCGCTGAGCTTACGCGACATTAGTTACTGAGCGTTTCTTTGAGGATTCCCTCTGCGTGCAGAATCTTCGTACAATGATGACAATGATATATACCGCAAGGCTTCGGCAAGCCTTCCGCACGGATTCCATGAAGGCAAATTTAGTCAATATTATGATGTGTTTTTGTGTTTTTCTATTTTTTAAATAGCAGTGGCTATCATTGGCGAATCATATGCCCTTGTGCACCCTTGCGCGCAAAAAGGGTCTTCTGCACAGTTTCGGCAGTTTCCACTATTGTCAAAACATATTTTAACAAAAATACAAATATCATGTCCAAACGTAGACTGAAACAAAAATCAAAAGAGTGATAGACTACAGAACTGATTTAGGGTGGAAAACCAGGCCCCTAAATATGATATCCCCGAATTCATGGCCAGCTTGATGCTTTTACGATCCTTTTTTGTGGCTAATTCGTCGCCCGGAGTTAACTTCACAAACCAACGCGACCAACCCGACCGACCTCGACCCTCGCCCGCGCATGGATTCCTGGCTTTCCACCCGGGCATTTCACCGCTGGAGTGCACTTGTAGATCATCATCGGCTCCTGGTGAAAAAAAATGAAACAAGTGATGATTCATGTGCAAAACCGCGTTGAAACTTGATCATAGACACCTTGAAACTATGGTTCGAAACTACGACCTCTGGGCGAGACGAGAAGAACTTGAACAGACTTGCTAGAGAAACGGATTGGCTCTGCTCCTCTCAGACCTCAGACCTCCCCACGTCTCCTCCTTGGTGGCAAAATAGCCCGCCGCAATCTGCGGCACAAAGTTCTCCCCCGCCGCAGAGGAGGCGCTCTGCAGGTTCGCGATGCTTGAGGAGGTCGGACAGTCCAGGCCCTCGCCGCAGGTGGAGCAATTGAAGACCATCGCCTCGGCGGACCGAGGCCCAGCCGCCTTCAAGTGCACTTTGACCGGCAAGACATGACAAGACCATGGCGTATGTTTTTCCCCGAACTAAGGACATATACTACATGTTGAACACAATAACTATAGCCATGAAGATTATGACGTTAGAGCTCCCTAGGCCCATCTCGGCCCCCCCCAGGAGGGAATCGACACTGATTTTGATCTGCCTCGCTGGCGATGTTGATACTGCCGGACTCGCATCCGCAGTCGGCCAAGGAGGATGAGCCCACACCCAGCGTAGTGGTCCCAGCCTGTGCAAAGAAAGGCGAAGAGAAAAAATGTCCAAGCAATCTGCCTTCCGCAAAAGGTAGAAAAACAGCAACCCTAGGCTTCCAACCGCATTCTCAGAACTATGAGTACCCCAACAATGTTGATATTTTTCAGAAGGTTGTTGACCCCGACCGGTAGAAACACCCTGGATGTCTGATTGCTTCCAGAAAGAGGGTTGAAGCAAATGCCAGGCACAGGGCAGTCTTTGCAACCGCTGCTGCCATAGATATCCTGATAGGCCGCGAATGGGCAACGCTTGCAGGACAAGCTGCCAATAGTATCCTGACAGTGTTCAATTCGATCCACTTGGAGAGCACTCACCTAACGATGGATACCCCTCAAATAGAGCTAGGTATGTACAAATACAACTACATGTGCACTAATACAATCCAATACAATGATATTTCATCTGTACTGCAGTATAATCTGCAGTCTTTTTCTTTCATGAACTCTCTCCGGCGCTGTACTACTGCGCCTGGTACTCTCCGGCTGCACAGGGCAAACAACTCAAAGAGGCCCCAGACGCTTGAGAGCTGCCGACCGGGCACTCTTCACAAATGAAGGTCACACCGACACCGTCGGTGAGTTCCTGCGGAGTGGCGAAACTCGACGCCGTGAGGTGTTGAAAGATTCGGAGTGTGTGGCGAAGCGTGGCGTCTCAGACGCAAGTTGAAGCGTGGCAGTGTCTTAAAGACGTAGGATGCCTCTATAACTATTTAGTTTTCACCGCTCAGGATTGGTTCAAGAGATCCTGATGGGGACGCATGAGTCGAAATAAAAGAATATCCTAGAATGTCAGAATGTCAAATCATCAAGGTGGAAACCATTTGTTGAATGTGAGAAGGATCCCTCCCCTCAAAAGAAAGAGTCCGAAAAACCTGTGGCAGTGCACTTGCTTGGCAAGTTTTGTGATGTTTTTGTTGCATTTGATCATCTGATATGCCTAAAGTCTTACAACTTATCTCGATAATGCAAATCCAGCCTCATTTGAAATAAGTCTGAGGATTGGTCTTTTGAAACATATGTATACTTCGTGCTCTTCCTTCATAATGATCTCTTCTAACATCTTCTAACCATTGGATATCATTCTAAAGGTGTTTATTTTCTTAAGTGCCTTCACGTTTATAGCAGCATGCCACGCCTACATTATATAGATACAAGCATGCTGCTGCCTTATCCCAAACCCTCCTCTATCATACAATGTGTTTCTCCTTTGTACAATTCTCATCTTTGATAAGATCCTGATTGTATAAACTGTGTCCCCCGTTGTCATCCAGAACCTCCTCCTCTATTATATAAGGTTTTTAATTGTCCTTGTTTTACCATGCTCAGGGGCTTGATCAAATTTAAACAGTATAAATGCATACACAGATCACAACTTTGGAAGGTCTTGTCAAAGAAATCTATGCTCTGCAAAGGTTCTGTCCACAATCAACAACTTATCCAAGAAGGGAAGAACCACTGTCTAAGCAAAAAAATAACTGAAATCAAAGAACAATATGGTATGAAACGTACTGCAATGATAGCGTACAATCAATCCATTGGTCTCCAGTCTAGCTCCTTCTATTGTATGTTCTTTGTATCCTTGCTTCTCAGAATCCAGCCGTAGAAATAAACAAAGGAGCAACTAATCCAAGCTTGTTGGGTCGCAAAAGGATGCAAAAGGTATTGGACAAAAATGTCCAAGATAGTGCTTGGTGCGCGATTGACAACAGAAGCAGCTACATGAGCCCAAAGCAAATCAGCTAAATAATGCTCGAGGAAACTAATCAAGATTCAGAAGGAATATAGCTATTTTTCAAATTAAGGTAGCAATGCAAAAGTGCTAGTTAACAATGTTACAGCACATTTGATACACCAATGTGCAAAAAAAGAATTAAACAACCATCGGAAGAAAAAGTGACTAATACAAGGCATACAAATACTTCAATTGGAATATATAAAGGCATTCGCCACGAACGTTTCTTGGTTTCAACTCTTGGCAGTACATATGTTTGTTTGGTAAAAAAAGGCGGCGGTCCTTAAAGCAAAGAACCATAAAGAACCGCTACAGCCGCTACAGTTACAGTACTTTTTAGGGACCTTGGACTGGGAATGGATGGCCTCCAAGAAAAAGATCGAAAAACCACCAAAATAACATCAAACATAGAAAACCCGAGAGGTCTTGGGCTGGCAAGAGGGGGTCCGCACCGAGTCTGTATCATTTTGCGTTTTGTGTTTCTTGGATGTGGGTTTTGTGGGAGGTTTCCTAAGAGTCTGTATAGGTTCGTTTTGTCATTTGGGGTCTGGTCTGTTTTAAGCCAACTCTTGTTTTTCAGGCCTTTAGCAGTGCGTTTGCAACTGATGTGATGTTTGCAACTGGTATGTGTCACACAAATGCTGAAGAAGTGCACTGCCAGGGCCTCCCTTTCTTTCACTCAAAAAACTCAACGGGCTCCTGGGAGAAAAAGCCCGATGGACATGCCCTGCAAGTCAAATGCGTGGGATCTTCGCGCGACTTCACAAACTTGTTGTCCAACTCATGGAAGAGACCGAACTGCGCGAAGCAGGTGCTCTTGTCCGGAATCCATGATTCCCAAAGGGCAGGATTCCCTTGTAGCCAGCGGCAGGCGATGGAGCGCCAAGAATCTGCCGTGTCGATGCTGTCAAGCAGCATCTCATTGACCGACTTCTCATCCAGCATAAAGGCTTTCACGAGATCTTCCGCATCGGGCGCCAAAATCTCCAGGTCCTTTCTGTTGAGAAGTCCGCGCAGGCTTTCGCGAATCCACGATGCGACCGATGCAAAGTTGTGTGTTTTCTTCTACACCAGGGTTACCAGGTGAAACAGCCAAAAACAGTGAGTCTTTTGTTCAGTTTATGTTTATGTCCAATGTCCATCCACGTTAAAATTAGCATGGTCATGGTGGGAGTGGCATTTTGTAGAAAACCGTCTCTAGATAATGGGGCGTACATGCATGTCCACTACAAAATGGCATGCCTGGCCCACATGCCTTCTACAAAATCCTTTTCCACACACCCATTGTGTGGAACCTCATAAACCAAAAAAATGCTACAAAATCCCTTATCAACGAGTCCAAAGATTCCAGCATCATGCCCCTTGACAGGCTCAAGAGATCCTCTCTACAAAATGGTTCAAGTGGATTGTGGAGCCTGCGTGATACGAAATAGATCCAAATAGATATATGCTCTACAAAATCACGTAGCCGAATGCACCTCTTTTCATCGTCTTCTTCTGTCTCCAAAGCTCTAGTCTATTGAGATAGCTCTCGCATCCAGCATCACCCCTATCTTAGAGGGAGAGCCATTTAACCATGCATAGCTAAGCTATGCCCTAGACAACGCAGTGCAGGAGAACAGAACAAAGAAAACATATCACCAATCTCTGTCAAAATCCGTCAAAATCTTGCGCCCTTCAGTCCTTCCTCAGAAAACATAACCAGAAACCATTGGACAGTCACACTGCATCAGAAATGCATGAATTAGCAAAAGCCTGTGCTCATCCGTGCTCAAGAACTCCTCGACCGATCTCGAACGTCCAATCTCAAGGCACCGTCAAGCACCTAAAGTCAATGATCTCCTTGATCAAGCGAAGAAATGCCTGGCGTGTGGGATCACTGCGCAGAAGCTGTGCCCGAATCTGACAAAGCAACTGGTGCACCCTTTCGCCAAACTCTGCCGCTGCCCTGCTGCTTCGGAACCTGGGATCCATGGGAAGAAGTCAGAAGATTGGATACCAGGTTGCCTCTACAAAATTGTTTCAGAGCGGCGGTGGTCTACAGAATCAACAAAAGTCATTCAACCAGCAATTGCTTCACAGTAATCTGTTACAGACAGTCATAATATGACCTGGTATGACCTGTCTGCCAATTTTGTAGCTATCAGTGATGGAGAGAAACATTCTGTAGAGATTGGAAGCCCCCTCCACAATGACATCATTAAACAAATAAAAACAGCCAGATCCGCTAAATGCTTTGATTGATTCCAGCAGCATGGAGACAATACAATCAGGGCCATGCTCAAGAATCTGCTCAAAGGATACAGCCTTTTCCACGGCATACTTCATGCGACACTTGCCAGAGTCATCAAAGATCGGATTGTCTGGAAAAGCTTTTGCATCAAGCGTTCTGAGATGCGCTAGCTCCTGCGAGATGAGCGCCTTTCCTTTGGAGTTCCTGCGGAAATCATGCGCCTCAGGCTCCTTGATGGAGATGGGCTCCGCATTCTTCTTGCCCTTGGGCTTTCTTTTCTTCCCTTTCTTCAGGCCTGGCACTCTTGTTGGCAACTTCTGCCTGCGTTTCCTGGCCGCAAAAGCGCGAGGAGCCTTCGGAGCGACATTCTTGCTTCCCCGCACCATGGTTGGAGCGACTGCCCAAGTCCGCAAGCCTTCGGCCTTTGCCAAGGCGTCCGCGCTCTGGGATGTCAAAGTGATGCGCATAGAGCCGTCATTGTCAAATGGTTCAACACCTAGTCGTTGCATATTCTTGCTACAAAATGAAGCGAACAACTCGAAGATTCATGCCTAAAAATCCTTTACAAAATGACTTGATCCGCAATAGAAAGCTCACAGCAAAGATGTAAAAAAATCACAAGCATGAATGAAAAATAGGTTGAATGATAACAAAGCCGCATTTCTCGACGTCCAGAATGCACACCAAGCCCTCCAAGCGAACGACCCATGCAGCTGATTTCGAGTTGCATGTCCACAGGGTAGCACTCTCGGCCTTTGGGTCCCCGATCTCAAGCTGGATGACCCTGAAAGCTACGCAGCTGTTCACTGGAGTTTCTCCTGCGTGTAGCTTGGGTGCTTTGATTCCACGCCATGCGGAGACAACCATACCAAGCTCGATCTCTTTTCCGGGCGGCTTGATGAAGAGAACAACGTTTCCCGGCCTTGCAACACAATGCAGCTTTAATCAAAAATAACCTCTACAAAATGCTTACATTGGTACTTGTACTACAAAATCTTATGTCGTCTTTGATTGGAACTGTTGTTTTAGCAATAGAATAGCAATTAGGAAAGTGCAAGCCAACATGAGATAGATTTCGAAAAACATCTTTTCACAGTAGAAACATGAAGCTCCTCAGCAGCCACTCACTTACAAATTGTTTCTAGATTCTAGAATTTAGATGACATTGGCCCCTCAAATATATAACCAGTTTATATAACCTTTGGATTTAGTAGAGAGATGTCCTGCTATTTGATTTAGTAAGACCAGGGCGCATGATTCTCTCAGGCGGTGCTGTCGGAAGATCCAGCTCGGCTTGGGCGATCTTCACCAGCTCCATCCACTTCTCCAGCCGGCCTGCGCGGCTTCTGTACATGCCATCCATCTTCTCAGCCTCCAGCTCGGCAATGCGGCGCTCGTTGAACCTCCGAATCTTCAAGGAAGGAAAGCAGAAAACCACAGAAAAACATAGAAAAGCATAGAAAAGCTACATATATCGGCATATGTATATATATATATATATATGTATTTTAAAAAAAATCTAAAAAATACCATCCGGACAAAACATGAGACGATGAAAAATCAAAAGGGTTTGAGCTATATAGCTTGGGAGCTGATGCCAGTTTAGTCCCTTGGATGCCTTTCTAGATGACCTGGGGCTTGGCAACCACCCCAAGTCGGAGCCACCCCTGCTGCTTCGCAGGCGGATGATCAGCCTGATCAACGCATTGAACAAACAGCTGCCTTTCCTTGCAATCTCCAAGGCTTCGCTGAGAGTTGAAGGCAGTGAGCACCGGTCGATGCCATTCCTTGGAGAGCGGCTGCATTCCATGCGAAAGGGGTCTAGGGGGGACTCTGCTTCAAAGATATGCTTCATGTGCCCACTGTCTGGAAGCTCGGCAATCTGCCTGTCCAAAACGTCTGGGAAGTGCACTTTGTCGTCGGCGCCTTCCTCTACATCCTCCTGCATCATTTTGGCTTCAGAGCGAACCTGATCCAGGAAACCCATACAACTTGCTGAAGGCAATGGGGCGTCCTCCACTTCCTCGTCAAAGATCTCCTCGTCACCAGTGCCGGGGAAATAGCCGTTCTCGTTGTCAGCTTCTTTTGCGCACACGTTTCTGTAAATCTGCTCAAGCTTGTCCACGCTCATGTCACTACATTTGGCGACCAAACTCAAAGCTGCCTCAAAGGCATTCTCGCAACAAAGTCCAAACCTTGCTTGGAAAAGCCAACTACAAAATCATCAAAGCACCAAAAGCCTTACAAAATCAGGAAAATTTGAAATGGCACTTGCTCCCTTGGAACGCTGAAACTGAATGAAATGAATTCGTTTGTTTCGATGTATGTTGATGAATTTTGTTGGTTGTTGGGATTGAAAGAAGCGCAACGCTGAAGCCTCTGCTCCCAACAAACTATTTGATCTTGCTGATTTTGTAGAAGGCTGGTTGGGTTCTTGATTCTGTAATCCTGCTGACCTGTCACCAAATGCAAAGAAGGGGCTGCTCGTCTGACATGTGGGGCTCTTGCGACCTGGCCTTGACAGGCTTGTTATGGTTGAGATTCTTGCCAGTTTTCATTGCGTGGCGTGAGCACGCAATCCAGAATGCTCTGGCTGATAGTTGCGCATTGGAGCTCTGGGTCCTGAGCTGCCCAAACCTTTGTTCGATGGCTATCTCACTCAACCGCGAGGTGCCCACAGTCCACGGATGCCATCCCGAACTCTTGGTGACGCAAAGGCTGATGGTAGAAAGTGCTGTAGCCTGCAGATTCAACATTGTTTGGCCTGCGTACCACAAAGTCCCCTTTGGTAGGCCGCGATCCTGGCATAATCTGTCGGCCACAACCTTGTACAAGTCCAGCAGGAGGAACCCAGCCAGGCTGAGTTCACAACGCTCCTCGAGTTTGAGGAACTTGTGCGTCGCTGGGCAAATGCAAAGGGAGCACACTAGATTGTGCAATGTGAAGCCTTTCAAGTGCCAAGGCACTGTCAATGACCCATAGTCCGGAACCTCCTGATTGATGAAAAGGTTGCACTCAATAAAACGAAATCGGTCCCATCCAAAGACAAAACAAGAAAACATAAACAAATATATACAGTAACAATTAAATAACTAAGAGTTTGACGTTTGTACATCCGTGCAAGGCTCCAAGGATTCTGGAATGAAGTACGGGTTGTACATTAGTGCGTTGGCGTGATCCGACATCGGATTGGTCCTCGCGTATGCACATGGAGGAAGCCCATGCTCCAAGCACCCTGTTGCATCAGCCCAAAACACTCCAAAGTGGATCACCCGGAGGCACGAGTTCAGCTGACCATTCGCATTCTTGCTGGCATGGCCTTACTTTCCCATACTTCCCCCACCTTTGCCCAACACAGGCTACCAGAGCCTACTATACACTACAAAATGGCAAGAACTAGACAAATTACTACAAAGTCATACAAACGGGCTACACGGTCCAGGCTGTCCACAAAAAGGCTGCCCTTCATGAAGACAGATCTGAACGGGTAATCGTGGAAGCTTGTTTTGGGGCAGTGGCGCGTGAGTGAGCTTGCCAAAAAATGGTATCTGCTCGAGCTGTTTGAGGTCGATTCCCTGCATTTGGCCATGTAGCACTTTGCGTATTAGCCCATGCGCTCCATGATTGTCGAAAGAAATGCCGCGAACTATGCCCCCGGATTTGATCAAGCAAGTCCCAATGATCTCCATCATGGCCCACCCGCTTCTCTCGGAACAATGAGGTCCATTGAATGCAATGTTGATGGGCAAAGAGCAGATGG